CACTGAGTTCGTATTCGCGCATTCTAGCTCTTGTTTGTAGACCTTTTAAATCCCACCATCTCCAGATTGCCAACTCTTCTCGTGCTTTCTCAAAGATGTCATTATATAGAGGCGAGGAGGGGTTGTTCATCAAATTGGCTTCGGCCAATTTTAAAGCAAATTCTAGAGACCGTCTTCTTTGCTTCCTTATGGATGCGAGCTTTCTAGAGATTCTGGCCACAGTCGTTGAGAGGGAGGAGTAACTTTTCTAAAACCAATCCCACCGGGACTCAGTACTCAAGCGTATCGATCTATGTCCCATCCAGCAGTCAATTATTTCCTTTTGGAAGGTTTGGCTGAGAAGTAGGGAGTTATTAAGCTTGTGGAAACTAGCGCCCTTTTTTACCACTTGGTCGAAGCACAGAACTAGTTCTATTGGTTTGTGGTCGAGCCCTGTGTAAGCAGCTAAAGGTAGTACCTCCGCATCTTTTACTGCCCCCATCATTATTTCTGAGACCAAGAAAAAATCGATCCGTGAGAAGGCCGTGTGATGTGCATGATTTTTCTTAGCCAAGGTGAATGTCTTTTTGGTGGGGTGTAGGGTTCTGTATGGTTCTACCAAACCATGATCCAACATCAGTTCCTGAATTGGTATTGCTTTTGTTGAGTTGACATTACTGGAGGATCGAGATATACGGTCTGTTGCCGGATCGATGGTGGCGTTCCAGTCGCCTGCCACAATACAAAGGGTTAAAGGTGGGATCAGATTTCTGAGATTATTCAGAAAGACCGTTATCTCCGTCGTTGAATTAGGTGCATATATGTTGATCAGCATGAATTCTTCTTCTTTCCATTTAATGTGTAGCAAGCACCATCTTCCTTCAGACAGATCCACTTTCTTATCTATAATTGAGCCTGCTTTATATAATCGAGAGGATTTGGGAATCAGGATTGCTGTTCCTTTCGAGCTTGTGGAGGGGTCAGCTGACCATATTTCATCTTTTAGGCCTCCTAATTTCCTTGCCAGAAATGAGCGGATTCTGTTATGTTCGATCGAGAAGGTGAGATGAGTTTCTTGGCGTTGTAATGACCCGTCAAAACACAGACTGAGAACACTGCTGATTTCTGAAGTTCTGCGATGGAATGGATGCCTTGCTGAGATTCCCGCATTCTGCTGTGTTTTCTAAGTCTGTCTGTGTGTGCGTGCTTGTGACCTGCGTGCCTGTCTGAGTGCTTGTCGGTATGAGTGTGTGTGTGACCCGCGAGGGTACTTGCTTGTTTGGCAGGCCCGTAGGGCTGGTACTTACCTGTGGACGTGGCATTGAGGGTTGTAGCAGGGAAAAACACTCAAGTGGCGAAGCTAGCGGCCCCGCGGCCCTTGGGGTAGCGGAAAAACACTCAAGTGGGCCGGTAGGCCGATACTGCACCCCACTGCAGTTGGCGTGAGGGAGTACTGGAGCCGAGCAGAAAAAGACAAAGTTGGCATTTTTAGAGTCCAGTAGCGGTAGGGTAGGTCTAGGCCGGTACCAGTCCAACCAGTCTGAGTCTAGAGCCTGTACGGGTAATATCAGGGTCTGCAATGTTGTTTCCCTCCGAAATGGAGGAAGTACCGGTTGCTTGGAGAGACCGAACGGCCTGGAAGTCACCGCCCAGGAGGCAAGTAGGCCGCTATATCAAGAGGCCGGGCGGAGAGCCCAGCCTCATTCTTCAGTGTGCAAGTTTGGCGACACGCTGCTGGAGCGCTGGCTGGAGTGGCGCTGGGTACTACAGCGCTGCTGGGAGGAAGAAGCTGGGAGCTTCCACCTTGGCTATGGTGGAGCTCTACCGGTAGGAGAAGGAGGGAGAAGGGGACCAAGGAGGAGAGTGGCGAGGCACTTACCTGGCTATGGTAGACACCATCTTCATCTCCTTGTTAGGCGCTGCATCAGAAAGGTCCCCGTTGGGGTAGTGCCGCATCAAGGAAACTCGGGACAGAGTTAAGCATGGTGGCTGAGTGGGCAGCGGCATAGCTGCAGGGTGATGACCTTGAAGTGGGGCAGCGGCATAGCTGCTTTGGGTTGTCCTTTGGACGGGAGGCTGAAGCCTCAGTAGTCCGCCATCGCCTCGGCCTGTATGTAGAGGAAGAAGAAGGGTGGCCATGGCTATGGTGGACCTCATGTTGTGCCTGCAGTAGAAGTGGGATTCGGACATTGATTCTGGTTCAGTCATTCAACATTATTATTGTCATTTCTTGTTTGAATAAGAGGGGAGGAGATAAGGAGGAAGGGATTGGTTGGCGAAGAAGAAGAGCCTTGACATTGGTCTATGCTGGAGTACATCATCATGTTCTTCTTTCTCACTTCTTCTTCTTCTTCTTTCCCTCTCTTTCCTCTCAAGTTCATTCATTTCTTTTCGCAATTGGATGGCATTGTACTTTCAGATGAATGTATACTTCGAAATTGGCCAGGATCGTAACAGAGTAGTAAAATGTCCACCACTTTTCTGTTCTCCATTGTTAACCCTGTCAGCAGATCGTTCATTTTTTCTTCTCTTTCCACTATATTCCCAAGTCCATTGACATTCCAGCTTCTAATGACGAGCCCTTGAATCTTCCAATCAATGCGATCCCCTGCCTCGTTAGCCCTTAGTCTATAGGTCTCCATGGTTGCATTCAAGTCGGGTCAGGGGGATTGATTGGTGGGAGCATGAAAGTATTCTACTATTTTCAATGTATTGAAATGGAGCAGCTCACGATGCAGAATAAGTCCAGGAACACTCAATGTATTCACAGAGATAGAGAAGCAATGGAAAGATAGGGAGGAAAGTTTCACTAATAATCAAAAGTACAATTGAATCACCTCTTCCACCCCTCTTCTCCTTTGGGACCTTCCTCCACCAACTCGCCACCTCAGCAATGCAAGTTTCTCTCCAAAGTCGCTTATGAAGTCTCTCTGCAGGCACCAGCTATGGCACCCAACCTCCAGCATAAATGCTGGCTATGGAGGTTGGCGCCTGCCTTCTTCAACCTCCTGATGTGACCAGCAATAGCTCCAGTCTCACCAGCGCCCAGGTAAGTCAAAGTAAACTTCCCACTCTGTCACTCTCTCTCCAGTCACGAGGCCTGATCACCCTCTTCCTCACTCCCTCTCTCTCTACTCTAGCTACGGCGGTTCTCTCCTTCCTCCTTGCCTACTCTCACAATCACCGTAGCATGTCACTGTAGCATGTCACTGTAGTACCATGTCACTGTAGTACGTCACTGTAGTACCATGTCATTGTGGCAAGTCGCTGTAGCATGTCACTGTGGCATGTCGCTGTAGCATGTCACTGTGGCATGTCACTGTAGCGTTTCAGTGTAACCGTGCAGTGTGGCCGTGCACTGGCACGCACTGTAGCAGCATGAGGCAAAATGAATGAGCTGCTGGGCTGGCCACTCTTTCGTCGCGTTGACCGGCTTGGCCGGCCTCAGCTTGCCTCCTCAGACGGTGGAGATTTCTTGATCTGGGCGGCCCAGATTTGCTGTCGGGTCAGTGTGCCTGGACCCAGTAGGTGCTTCAATCTTCTGGAACAAATGCAGACAGCCTTTGATTGTGCATCTTATCTATGGCCGTGGTGTGGTTGACTGCTGAGAAATATCTGACTCTTTGTGTGCTTTTCCCGGGTTGGGCCTGACTCTTGATTTTCCCAAGAGTCAACTGTCTCTCCCGCAAGGGCACAGGTTGCCTCATTTGACCCTGGGGCCTGGACCCTATACCAATTGACCCTAGGACTTTTCTCAGACCTTTCTAAGCCTACAGTCTTCCCCCGAAGAATACAACGTACGGTCATTATTGCTGAATTCGGTACATATATCAGTCTAAATTCAGCTATAATGACCGTGCGACGTGCGTTGTATTCGGGGGAAGACTGTAGCGACGTGACTTCTGACTCCTGAATCTCAACCTAGACCAACCAAAAGCGACAACCCCGTGCTGTGTCTGTGCAGATTTTAAAACCATTTCATCGCACAGGTTGAAGCCGTCTTCATCAGGCCGGCATGCCAAAGGGTGCTTGTTGTGAGCTGGGCAACTGGGAGGAATGGCTACAGCCGGCAGTCCAGCGCCAGCAGTAGTTAGGCTGTGAGAGAAGGCTAGGACCAGCCGCAGTTGGGCGGTGAGAGAAGGATGTCGCCCGGCTGTTTGAACACCAAGCTGACAGAAAAGGGCAGCATCCCGTCTCAAACTAGCGGCAGCCGTCGCTGAGGAAGAAGACCTGTGCCCCACATCTGTTCCTCCTTAATGACCAGTTGCTACATACAGACAACACAGATTTGCTTTCTCAGAGTCACCTTCTCCATTGATCTGTGTCTGATTGAATATAGTATCAGTAGATTCAGTACTGATTCAATAGCTATATAGCAGCCTTGCCTGTTTGTCTATCCCCAATAATGAGAACTTCTTGTTGAGTCAATGCTGACCACAGCCTACTGGAACAAGGCTATCCAGTGGATAGTATCCACCGCTTTAGTGCTGTTTCGATTGGTTCATGCACAGATGTACGTGAAGGCTTGTAGTTAGAACTCGAACTGCGAACCCTGTCAGAATATGGAGTCAGTGGTCAGATATCCCTTTTTTTTTTTGCGTCATAACTCCTTCCTTTGTGTCGCTTTGTGCTCTTGTGTGGCCTATTTGCAGTGCAAAATGCGGCAGAATAAGTTTTTAGTCTTTTGAGAAGTTTTTGACTGATGGAGGGATGGTTTGTCATAAGCCACTAATAATTGATTGGCTAATTGATTCCATGTCTGATATTTGATTTTTTCTGAGCTTTTCTCAGATTTCAGAAGTGCACAGAAAGTTGCAAAAGAAGTGCATGCCACTGCATGGGGAGGGATGCAAAATAACAAGGAACCCTTGGTTGTGGCTGAGTGCGGGGGTGGAAGAGGGGGAAGAGAAGAGAGGGAGGGGGTACTGCTGCACATGAGGGAGGGAAAAATAATCTGTTTATTCAACTTATTTGCTCTTGTTGGTATTCTTCTTGTGATTGCTGGGCATTTGAGAATGCAGGGATGGAAGTGTTGTGGACTTCCATTGGAATCCCTCTTCACCATGGACAGTCATGAGCGCCTCAACCAACACGACAGGAGAGGGGGCTGGTGATGGAGGTGGAAGTCTGCAGGTGCGTTGGTGCCAAGCTGTTCCTTCTTTTTTTTTTTTTACAAAACAGAATGCCCCTCCTATTCTGGGGGCCTCAGTCCCGTTGCTCATCACCATCAAGCACGTTTTTATATCCCGTTGCTCATCGCCAGCAAGCACGTTTTTATATCTGAAAAGAGGAAGGCGGGAGAGCAGACAAGACAGAGGACCGGCCCGTCCCTTGTGGCCCTAGATGCCTGGCAAGGGGGGGGCTTTTTTGGGGCACCCCTCCCCCCTATCCCTAGCCTTTCGGGTGGTTGCCCTACTAGCCGGGAGGCTTACTGGCAGCACCCAGTCACGCAGTAGGGCAGCCCTCGGATAGGCGGGGTTGGGAGGGGGGGGGTTGCTCCTAGCAGTTCCTCGGGCTGCTTAACATCTTGTTACCTGTTTCTGATATCCCTCATGGCACCTAGACCCTACATTACCTGATATCCCTCATCGCACCTTGACCCTACATTTCCTATGTGGTTCTAGCCTATTCCCCTGTAGTTGCTTATCCACCTCTACCTAACTATGCTCACCCAGATCGGGTTCCACTTACCTCCTACTTCTATACAAGCCATGATAGGCCACAGTCCACTCACTTGTTTTAGTAATGTTTCATGTTTCCTGTCTTTTTACGGTTTCTTTAAACTTTCTTTTAGTATCTCCCGTCCACCCCTCATACCCCTCACCACCCCATTCCTCCTACACTTCTTTGGCACCCTTTACTACCTGCTCCCCCTGGCCCCATAGTCCTCCCCCTACGCCTTCCCCTACCCCCCCCTCTCTCCTAATGCTACCCTGTCCTCTGCAGTACTTCTAGTGTCCACCGGGTTCCATCACACCTCCTACTCATTTAACTGCTGTACAAATCGGTTAACTGAATTTCCTATCCTTCCCCAGGCTCGTCCTCCTCCTCGGGACGGGGCACGTGCCGCAACAAGGCGGGGCCAAACTGCATATGGCCGGTGCATGGATCTTGAATACATTGGAATAATCAGTTGCAGGTATGGGCCCGTTCTCGCCCGGAAGCCTTCCACCTTCTGCGGTCCTGAATGGTTGCATCTATGCAGGTCTGCCTGAAGGGCAGTTCTGATGCTCTCCAAAGCCCTTTCCGTATCTGCCTCCAGAGGGGGAGCCGTTCCCTGTCGACATCTCTCATTCCGCAGGGTCCATAATGCCCACAGCACAGCCACTCGCAGAGTCTCTGTCGGAGGGAAAGCTTAGTCAGATTACACACACTGCTTACCCTATCTATTGGGTCGTTGGTTCGAATCCAACCTAGGGAGCTGTTCTGTGTTCATCATAGTTTCCGGGTTTTCCCTGTCCACTTTTATGAGCATCCCTAAGAGAATTGCTGCACCGTCTGTTTCCATGACCTCTAGAGGGGACTTATCAGCTGACTCCTGCGGCCACCATTCCCAAAAGGCTCGAACAGTTGGGCATCGCACAAACAGACGGGGCATAGTTTCCGTTTGTCCACACCCCGCGGCGCAGTTCTGGTCCTTATGTCTACTTTTAGTGTTGCCATCCATTGCGCCGTCGGGATTGCCAGGTGATAAATTTGCCACAGCAACCCCGCCTGCTTCTGGTTCGGTAGTGCAGCCAGGATAGCACATTGTCTGTTCCATCTCCGCCGAGTCCACCTGCTGACATAAGTGTCCGGGATCCAGTCTCTCTTGGCCCACCGATTCCTCAGTTCTTCACAGATGTCTATCGGCTCCAACAAGGAGTTTCTCCCCCCCTTTTTTTTTTTTTTTTTTTTTTTTGAAAAATCCGCTCGCCTCCCCATCTCACCAGCTTTAAACGTATTTTCTGATTCCTTGGCAATCCTTGTTCAAATCTCTGTATGTCTGCCTCCCTCCTACGTGGTACATCGTTCACCTTACTCCCTGCATCCGTTTACCCTCCATCTCTGTCTTTCTTCAGCCTGCGTCTGTCTGTCTGTCTGTCTGTCTGTCTGTCTGTCTGTCTGTCTGTTTGTCTGTCTGTCGGCCTGCCTGCATATCTGTCTGCCTGCCTGCCTGCCTGCCTGCCTTCCTGCCTGCCTGCCTGCCTGCCTCCCTGTCTGTCTGTTGCCTGGATGGCTAGTTGCCAACCTGCATGCCTGCCTGCCTACCAGCCCCACTCCCCTCTTCTCCCCCCCTTTCCCCCTCTCTGTCTCTGAGGGTGTGTGATTGTCTCGCTCCCAAGCACCCACATGCCGACATACGTCCCCTGTGGTTTCTTTTCTTGTGGTGACTGTAGGTCTGGAGGATGATGGATGTGATATACGGATCGGATGGTGATGTATTTGGAGAACTCAAGCAACACCAAGATGAGATTCTGGGGGTCAAGAGAACATCAAGCATGAATGTCCCATATGGTGATCAGAGAGAGGAGCCTGTCGTCAAAGAGGACTTAGCAAAGCCAAATCTCAGTGATCATAACAATCCCTCTACCACTGCTTGGTAATTTATGGCCATCTACGGCATATCAGAGGGTGAGGGCTATAGAGGGACAGCAGCTGCAATAGCAATGGCAGCAAAAGAGGCACTAAAGGCTGCAACCACTAGCAATCGCATTACGGGTGGAAAGGATCATGACAATGACAAGCGTAGCAGCTCTGGCTACAGTGACAGCGGCAGCATTGGCAACAACACCCATTAATAGCAGCAACAGCAACACCAATAGTCACAGCAATAGCAACAGGGATAGTGATGGTGTTGGAAACAGTGATGGAAACAGCGATGGGAATAGCAACGAAAACAGCGTTGGAACCAGCATCAGAAACAGTGACAGAAACCGCAAATGGAAACACCGATAGAAACAGCAATGGCAGGGGCCGCGGCCTAGTGCAGTTGGTTGAGCACATGAGTGGCATTCAGGAGGTCATGGGTTCGATTACCAACGTTGTCCATTCGACTCCCCACAGCCCCCTGAGGCATGCTCTGGGTTCACCAGCTGAGAAAGACAGCTTGCCACCCTTGGTTGGTCTTGGCAGGGGACCCTTTGACCCGGCCAACCCTAGCTAGGGGTTAGGAATGCAGCGGTGCTTGGGCACAAGAGGAGGTTGGCGCCAACCCATAACTCTTACGACACTCCAGCGTAGGTGCATAGATTTGGCATGCTACGAGAACAAATGATGGAAACTGGATGTAGATAAGAGGTTAGGTAGTGGGAGGTATCTGAGAGAAGAATATAGGGTAGTTAAAAAAAAAAAAAAGAGAAACTGCGATGGCAGCAGCGATGGAAACGGTCATGGAAACTGCAATAGCAACAGCTATGGAAACAACAACAGTGACAGTGTCGGAAGCGGAACAGTGACAATGCTGGCAGCAGTGATGGCGGCAAAGAGCGATGTGGTCCCTGGAGACAAGAGCAAGAGTGACAATGATGTCAAGAGTACTAGCAGCAGCAAGGAGTAAGCGAGTCACATCATTAATGAATCGTAGATTGTTAGGCAGCAACTTAGGCTATGTATGAGAGGGAAAGGAGGTGACTGCCATGGTGTCCAATGGCTCAGGGGGCAGTAAAATGAATGGGAGAGATGGGAAGTGTGTGTGTGTGTGTGTGTGTGTGTGTGTGTG